TGTGCTTCTTCCATGTGGGCGTTGTTGTTTCTCAGCTAGATGGCCGCTTGTTTATCTTCAAGCCTTTAAGACCCCAGATGCTATATCTTTTGACAGCCGGGCACCATCAGCTTTCTTCACCACATTTGCTTGTGCACCCACTTTGTCTTTAGTGATTGAGTCGGGTCAGGCTGGTGTGCTTCTTCCTTTTGTCAGAGTAGAACTGTGTCAATGCTCTTTTCAAAGGCCAACTTGTTAGAAATCTATCCAGGCCTTTCTTGCAAGGTACTACTGAGGAACCTCCAGCCTTACACTGCCCATGGGCTAACCCCCATTAGTCTATATTCAGATCATTCCTCCAAATATCAATCCCAGGATTGATGAACTTATAGGGACAGCAAGTAAAATAAGGTTTTTGTTTTTTGTTTGGGCTTTTTTTTTGCAGGGGGGAGTACAGTCCTGTGGGTGGTGGGGGAAGTTTTTAAAAGAGAGACGATGTCAAGGAATCCAGGAAGGAAAAGATTGTTTGGAAACTGATGTGGTAGCAATTGGACAATCCTGCCTGACGTGACTGAGCTATGGAATGGTACGATCCATGTATTAGCTCCCAATGAAGAGTACAGTTAACAACCACCAAGAGTTACAGGCTCACAGGCAGTCCCATAGGGTTGCTATGAATCAGCGTCACTTGATGGCAGTGAGTTTGGTTTAGTGTGTTTATAGCTACTCTGTAAATAGGGAAGGAATGACACTATAACTTTAAAAAATGTTTTTTAGTTGAATGATTTTATACAGATATTCGAACAATCCATAAATCAATTGTATCAAGCAAACCTGCGCATACGTTGCCATCAGAGGCTGTGACTTTTGAACCAGAGTTGAAACCCTCGTTCTTTCCTCGGAGTTGCTGGTGGTTTAGACGTAGCAGCGTAACCTGTCACCACGACTGACGCCACGAGCTTCCTCCAACGCATACCTTGAGCTGAGGGTGAAAGGTCCCCTCCATGCAAAGCCCTGGCCATGAACGACTCCCATGGGCGCTGTCCCTGTTCCAGGCTGGGTGGGTGACCTCTCTCTCTTTGCCCACAGGGAAGAGAATTTGCCTCGGCGAAGGCATTGCCCGGACAGAATTATTCATCTTCTTCACCACCGTCCTCCAGAACTTCTCTGTTGCCGGCTCAGTGGCCCCTGAAGAGATCGACCTTACACCCCGGGAGTCTGGTGTGGGCAAAGTACCCCCCACGTACCAGATCCGCTTCCTGCCCCGATGAGGGGGCAGGGGCAGGGGCCAAAGGATTCCGGGGGCTGTCCGGGGTTCCCACCTCTCCTGAGAATGGTCCCTGATGCCCTTCCCATCTCCCCATCTCTGAGAGACCTGCTGCTGTAGGCCAGGAGCCTTCCCATCTTGGTTGTAGCTTCCAATCGGAAGGTCCTTCCTATCATCCCGTCTCCTCCCACCATACTGCAAGTTTTCTGAAGACGCCAGGTCTTTCTGCCTTCCTCTGGGAAGGAGTTCCAGAGTGGGAAGCAACCTCAGAGAGATCCAACTCCTTCCTTGTTGTACCTCAAGCAACTGGGGCTTCTCAGGGGACACTTGGCAAGGGACTTCTCAGTCGTTGTGTCTCTGCAGGCTGAGCGCCTTCTTCTCAGGCCAACCACAGTCTCCACTTATCCCTGCCCGGTGCCCCAGGAGAGCTGGACTTAGAGGGCTCTCCATGCAAGTTGACTCCAGTTCTCCTCTCCACAGCCCTGTGTGGCGGGTGCAACAATCAGGCCCATTTTACAGCTGTGCAAACAGATCCCCCCGGGAATGATACCTGTTGTCCAAGGGCAAATAATGCCAGTGAGCGGAGGAGCCAGAGCCTCTGCTGGTCTGTCTGGGGCCAGAATTCCAACGCTGCACTGCAGCCTCTTCAAGTTTGGAATAGTCCTCCTTCTTAGCTAGCTCTGCCACTTTTCCCTCTGTGTGAGGGTCTCTCCTGAGCCTGTGCCCCTCCTGAGTCGTGTGACTCTGGTGCCCTGTCCTCTCGGATACTCCCTTTTAATAAACACCCGAAGCTGATGTGCCCACACCAGGTGCCCTTCGGTGCGTGACTCAATTATTGTCAGCTCTCAGGGACCCGAGACCATCGCTCCCTCCCCTTGATGCTGTTGTCTCGTTACCCCCGGTGGTTTCAATACCTGGAGCGGGTGTCAGAATATGTGCTGAGGAATGAATGGCTGAGTCAGTTCCTTATGAACTCACGTAGGAACTCAACCCACCCCATTAGACCTGTCCCCCCCACATCTTCTGATGATCCCCAATAAACCCTCATTTTCCAGTGGACACAGATGCCCCTCATTCTGCCTGCCCACTAGGCTTGATTTTTCATGCCAGCTTCTGACAAAACTGGCTGGGGGGAACCCCCCTGAGCCCAGCCTCCACACGTCCCACCAACTGATGGCATCACTGCCCTTTCTTAAAGGAGGTGTTCTAGCCAGCCCAGGGCACTGCCCTTTGAGCATGGGAAGCCGGCTTTGGACCCTAACCTAGAGATGCTAAACTTCCTGGCTTCGGCAGCACCTGCCATCTTGGGGTTCCTGTTGTCTCTCGAGAATTCTCAGGAGCTCTGCCAGGGTTGATCACGGTCATGGCCTCTCTCAAACTTAGACACAAAACAACCAATGACGCAGTGTGTCTTTAAGAGGGGACAGCAGAATGGGAGGCAGGTGCATTGAGAACCATCACAGGTCTTGTTCCTCTGGCTCTGAGGACGCCCCACCTCCAGGGGCCATCTCTTGCCTGAACCCCCGGCTCTACCCTGCCTGGGGAACATTTTGAAAATAGACCACAAGGCCTTTCTCAAGCCCTTCCAGAATGTGAGATGGGGAAGAGGAAGAAGGCGGTGGACGAGGAGCAGAGCTCACAGGCAGCAAGGCAGTTGGGAGTTCAACATTGGGTGGGCCACAACCTGGTCCCAGATGCACACCAGTGAAGCTTCTGGACTGCCCATGGGAGCAGGTAGACTGGAGAAGGAAGTTCTGGTAGACCTGAGCCTTTGAGTTGGAGTCCTGAGGAGGGGATGAAGTAGTGGGACCAGCGTGGGAACACTCGGCAATCCTTCAAATTCAAGTTTGGAGGGAATCTGAGAGATGGGAATGCTTGGTGCATGCGTGGGAGTGGGAGGCTTGGTGGAGACCACTAAGTAGAAGCTCCCTTGTTCCCCCATGGAGCTAAACAGGACGTGAAAACCACCCAAGATTCAGCCCCCCAACATAGACCTCTTAATAGTTTAGAGCAGTGGTTCTCAACCTGTGGGTCAAGACCCCTTTGGGGGTCAAACGACCCTTTCACAGGGGTTGCCTGAGACCCTCAGAAAACACATATTTCCGATGGTCTTAGGAGCCGAGACACTGCTCCTCTCTCTGTCTCCAGGCGGGTCTGCCCACTTGCAGACACGCCCACCTATGAGTACCCGGCACGATGACTATTACCCACGCTACACCATGCTTCAAGACAAAATTTCATTTATTTGTCATTAGAAATACATATTTCACAATAGATAATGATATATTGTTTTCGTGATTCATCACGATGCTTTCATGATGTTCTATTTGTCACCATGAAAATACATCCTGCCTGTTTGATATTTACACAATTCATCACAGTAGCAAAATGACAGTTATTAAGTAGCAATGAAAATAATTATATGGTCGCTGGGGGGTGGGCACTACATGAGGAACGGATGAAAGGGTCGCGGCATTAGGAGGGTTGAGAACCATTGGTTTAGAGAATGTCCTTCCACACGCCTTTTTATGAATTGTGCGCACACACACACACACACACAGAGGCAGATCATCGTTAAATGGATGGTAGGAAGATAGGAAACTAGATGGAAGTAAAGTTGGAAGAAGAAAAGGAAATGGAGGGAACCGAAGGAAAATTAATTGGCTTCCTTTTTTCTGTTAGCCAGTGGTTTCAATCCAAGGCAGAGGACAAGTGTGAGGTGAAGCAGTTACTTATGTACACATATACATTCTCTCTCTCTCACTCATTCACTCACTGTCAACGTTGTCAAGGTGCCCTGTTCAAATTCCTTAAGTCATTTCACCTGTATCCACGGGTGTGAGATTTTTCATGTGCTAAATTCTTCAATTTCCTGGGGATTATTTCTGATGGATTTTTATAGAACCCTGGATCTGTGCGTCTTTTCTGGCTCTATCATGACTACACCTGTATAAGGTGTTTTCCTATTTTATGGGTGCTAGCCTCTCTCTGGGGGAGTCGTGGTTATGCATTGGGCCGCTAACTGCAAGGTCAGCAGTTTGAAGCACCAGTCGCTCTGTGAGAGAAAGAGAAGGCTTTCTATTCCCATAAAGAATGACAGTCTCTGAAAATCATAAGGGCAGTTCTGCCCTGTCCTATAGGGTCTATATGAGTTGGACTCTATGTCAGTGAGTTTAGTGTGTGTGCGTGTTTTTAAATTCTCCCTCTGGAGTCCTAGTGGAGCAGTGGGTGACCACATTGGGCTGCTCACCACAAGGTCAGCTGTTTAAACCCACCAGCCACTTCTCAGGTGAAAGATGCGGCTGCCTGCCTCCATAAAGACTTATACTCTCAGAAACCCAAAGGGGCAGTTCTCCTCTGTGCAATAGGGTCATTGTAGGTGGGAATTGACTGGGCTGGCAGTGAGTTGTTTTTTGTTTCTTTGTTTGCGTCTCCCTCTGTAGTAGTTACATAAGCTGGTGTCAACTTGAGACTATTAAGAGTGAAGGGGTGGAGTTTAGCCTGTCAATCAGGCTAAGTCAATCAATCTGTGTTTGGAGGCCCTAAGGAGATAAATAGTTCACTAGAGGTGAGACACACACTCACTCCTTGTGAGACAGTCCTGTTGAGAAGGCACGTGGAGCTACGCTAGAGCCCTGGAGCTAAAGGAGCCATGTAGAGACCCCTGCCAGCGTTAAAATGCTTCCACCGCCACTGGATCCACAAGACTTCCCACCCACTGGCCTGTGATCTTCCTGCATTCAGCACCATTGCATGTGTGGTGTGAGTCTGAAGAGGAATTTATAGATTGGTATCAGACATATGGGCTAATATAGGACTTATGGACTTGATTTGGACCAGGCTGGGATGCTCTCTTAATATACAATTGCTCTTTTATATAAAGCTCTTTTTTATATACATATGAGTGTCTATGAGTTTTGTTTCTCTAGTCTACCTGGACGAACACACCCTCCATTATTCTACTGTATCACATAGCTCGATGCCTCTTCTAACACACATTTTAGAAGTTTAGAAGGGGACTCCAATTGTACTTTAGAATCATGTTTCAAGTTCCTCAAAATCCCACTGGGATTTTCTTAGGATTTATGAAAATTTGTCGATTTATTTGGATAGCCTTGACAACTTAACACATTTGAGGTATCCCAGACAGTGTGTTTCCCCACGGAGTCAATTCATGTTACTCATTGTTTCTCCATTGAGTCAACGCTTATCACTGAAGCACATATTCAAGTTCACATTTCCAGCTCTTCCTGCCCTCGACGGAGTCGTTTTCAACTCATAGCGGCCGATGAGGACAGAGTAGAACCCTGTGGGTCTCTGAGGCGATAAGTCTTCATGGGAGCAGAAAGTCCTCTCTTTCTCCCATGGAGTGGCTTGGTGGTTTTGAACTGCTGGCCTTATGGATAGCAGGCCAACGAATAATGCCCCAGGGCTTAATTCATGACTGGAGAAGTCTATGCAAATGTGAGGCGTTTGGAGCCTACCAAAGGGACTGGGTGGCAATTCTGCCCTGCAAATCTGGCTAGACCAGAGGATGTACATTGGTACAGATGGCAACTTGAAACACAGGGAATCCAGGACGGATGACTCCTTCAGCACCAGTGGTGAGAGGGGGATGCCTGGAGGGTGGGGGGAATGTGGGGTGGAAGAGGGTAACCAATTATAAGAATCTAGGTATGACCTCCTCCATGTGGGATGGACAGCAGAGAAGAGGGTGGAGGGAGACATCAGACAGTGTAACTTATGACAAAACTATAATTATTTATGAATTTTGAAGGTTTCATGGGGGAGGGGGAGGGGGGAGAAAGGGGGAAAATGAGCAAATGATATTAAGGGCTAAAGTGGAAGGCAGGTGTTTTGAGATTGATGAGGGCAACAAATGTACATATGTGTTTGACGCAATGGATGTATGTATAGACTGTGATGGGAATTGTATGAGCCCTCAATAAAATAATTAAAAAAAAAAAGGGACTGGGTGGCTGGCTAGCAATGTAACACCTATACCGCCAGGGCTCCTCATATTTCCATCTGTTGTTATTCCGACTCATATTGACCCTACGTGCAACAGAATGAAACACAGTCCAGTCCTGCGCCATTGTCCAATTGTTCTCGCGTTTGAGCCCCTCATTGCTGCCGCTGTGCCCATCCATCTTGTCAAGGGATTCACACATTTCTTCTTAGAGTCGTTCGAAGATGCATGGGAAGTTGTTGCTATTGTTTCCAGGACCCTTCTAACATTTTATTTATTTATTAAGCTCGAGATGCCTGTTGCACATATATGTATGCATGTATGCATCTGTGTATCTACATTTATGAATGTATGCATGTGTATATATATGTATGTATGCATCTGTGTATATATCTGTATGTGTGTATGTATATATTTTGTCCAATTCCTAAATGTGTCTTTGTTTTCCCCCCAACATATTTTGGCCATATAATTTGCACATCACCTAATTCAATAGTTCGATCACATCAAGAAGAGTTGTACAATCACGGCTACAATCACTTTTAGAACATTTTCTTCATTCTTGGACTCATGACTCATTGCTATTAGCTCCCTGCTTCCCGCAACCTTCCCTGCCATCCTCCCAAGGAACCTCTGATCCAGATACTGTCTCTGTACAGACACCCACTCTGGCCTTTAGACACAGAGAAGCATTAACTGAATTTTAGTTAAACGTTAACTTAATTTTTGTTCAGTGAGTCTATCAGAAAGCCACTGACATTTTCATATTTAATTTTGAATATTCGATTGTGCTTTAGGTAACTTGTTTACACAGCAAGTTGGTTCCCATTCAGCAATCCACATACAAAT